CACCTGTCCATGCCCCACTGTTATTTCTCAAAACAAGAATTCTTTTAAAACACAGTCAAATCATGTTTCTCTGTTTTAAACTTCACATTTGTGCCCATTCTCAATCAAAATTAAAGTCCTCCCCATAACCTAAAAGATCCAATCTGATCTGGCCACAGTCGCATGTCTAAACCTCATCTCTGGCTACAGACACTCCTTCATCTGCTCAGCTATAGCTGCTCTGACCACCTTGATGTTTCTCAAATAAGCCAGGAACACTGAAAACTTAAGGCATTTGCACTGGCTGTTCCCCTTCCCCTAGATATTCCCACGACCAGTGCCTTCACCCTCTACTTCCTTGCTCAATGAAGTCAATACTGACGACTATTTGAAATTATAAACTTCGTCCACAATTACCAATCCCCCTTACTTGACTCTATCTTTCCCCTTTTTGCCCCCAAATTTACCTCTTTCTGACATAAAAATAGTTTGCTAAATATTTATTTCATTCCTATATGTCCTAGCACACTAGCTCCTCCAAGTCTAGGATCTTCAGATTTATTCCCTGGTATATCCTGAGGCTCTCAGCAGGGCATGTCACATAACAAGCATTAAAAAAAAATAAGTGTTGAATGAATGAATCTGTGTCGCCTCCCTCAAACTACCAAGATGTCAGGAGTGATTCTGTTCTCTATAATACTTTAACTCTTTGTACATGCCACTCTTTCCGCCCTTTTTATCCTGATTTATTGTTATTTATATATCTGTCTTTCCCCTTACTCAACCACGATCTTCTTGGACATTTTCTATATGTTTATTTGCAGAAACTAATACAGCCTGTCATATAGCAAAGGTCAAGTCATGCCAACTTGATGAACATACAGAGGTGCTGATGTGCATATTTCTCTGACACCAAATCACTAACACTATTAGTCAGTTACTATTTAAAATGTCTCTCCTCAACCCCCACTCTAGATACATGTACGCACACACTCCACTAATTGAGATAATTTAAAACTATTTTTCACATATTTGCTTAATTAGCTTGCAGTGACCTCTGCAAAAACACTGGCCTCTGATGATTACAAGAGGTAGTTTTCTGGCATGGACACCAAAGCATCAAAGAGTCAGCTGGAACTAAGAAAAGCAATAACACAACTGGTTTTAATTACTCATGACAGGCAGTTGAATATATCTGACACAGGTCTTCTCCCCAATATATCACTCAAAACAGGCCAGTTACAGGAAATGGTGGAGAGAAAAAAAAAAAAGATGGGGCTAAGATGTGTCTATAATATAAAGCAGATCATCTTTCACATGGATAACTGTATTCCTTTTGTTTTATATTTTTTGATGGCCCCAGATCTACAAAATTGCTGATCCCCTAATACTTGATATGCTTCTATGTTGGTGCTTAGGCATAGTGGTTCAGGTTCTTGCACGAGGAGGTAGGTGAAGGGTGCAGCCATTCATGAATCACTGTAAAAACCTAGGGGTCCTCCAAAGTTCATGCAGAATTGCAGACATGTTTGCAATTAATTCTTCTATGAAGTATAGGTAAGTACCTTCTACTTCTAGTCAACATTCACAGAAGGATTAACTTCAACTATCATCTCATTGATTACTTTGGAGTTGTTGCTTAGCAAGAAAGAGATGAGGATTTGGAGTCATGTTGTGATGACTACTCACAATTTTAATGTATTTCTCTTGTGAAGTACATACCCTCTCACTTGATGATACTGTGGGCTCTCAATGGGTCATATCTGTCAGTTGGGTCCTATTGAAAATAGAGATTTCCTAAGTAGGCAAGATTTTACCATAGGACCTAATTTTGTTATGACAATCTTCTCTCAGACGCTGGTCCCTGAGTTCACTGCCTTCTTGTTTCTGTGCTTTTCCTGGCAAGAACTTGACAGCTTGCATTGTTTGATCATGGTTTTGACCAGATTTACACAGCCCAGGGCTCATGGAACTTCAGAAGCCCTTGGTTTTTCCTGCTGCTGTGTTCTTATTCTTGTTTGAAATTTGCAGAAATCTATACTGCCCCCTGAGTCTTTCTGCTTTTAACATAACCTTTCATACTTTCAACAAGTTTGAGTCCCTGCAGTGAATGGGGATCCATGTTAAAGATGGAGACTCTAACCATGAAGGCCTCACTAATGCGTGAGAACTTAAAAGAGGAAATAGCAAGTATGCAGGTGCACTTGCTAAGTGCTGTGATATGTCAAGCAGAAGGATGACGGTAGCACATACTGGGGGCACCTAACCCAGTACCTAGGTGGGTTGTGAAGCTTTCCTAGAGTCAGCAATATCTAATCAGAGTGGGCCAGATGAAAAGGAGTGAGAGATGTCCTATTCTAAGGAAGCAAAATCTATAAATCCCATTAGTTCCTCATGTTCCCTAAAGGAACTATAAGTAGTTAAGTATAGCTGTTATGGGTAAGGGAAACAGAGTGGAGTGGGAAGCCAGGACTAGCTTGTGACTTTCATTATTTGAGAAAGAGTGGAAATCATCCTATCAGGAATGGGGAGAAATTAAAAATTAAACATGACATGATCAGATTTATATTTTAGAAAAACTGGCATCACTATGGAGACAAGATTTCACTATCTGGCTATTTCCCTGAATCAGGACCTCATGCTTGCCTGTTCTACGTTATCTTTCTATGGCTCTGAAGAGTCCAGCTCCACACCCCTTTCTCTATCTGTATCCTCAAACTAAAATAATAACCAGAATCAGCTTGAAACTTTATAAAAAATACAAATTATTTGATCCCGCTTCACAAAACCAGGCTCTCAAGGGGAGAGAGCCTGGGATCTCTGTTTTATAAAAGTTCTCCAAATGACTCTAAATCAGTTGGACTCTGAACAGAATTTGTGGGCTAATGTAGGCTGTGGCTTACACCACAACACAGATGTGCTGATTAACATCAGCTTACTGAATTAGATTGAAGATGACTGGAGTATGCCTCATTCTAAATGTCTCCTTTCTGAAGTATCTATGACATGGCTCCCAGGACCAGAAAAATCAGTCTCTTGCTTGCACCCACAAGGACTATTCCTTGTTCTTTGAATAACGTATCCCAACCTTAACTTGACCGATCCAGCAGCGTATCGGGATCCCATGGTCTCTCCTCTCAAGCCACTTTTCTTTTTACTTTGTACTTGTTATTAACAGCAGAGATAAGGAATTTTGATACAATTCACTTCCCAACTTTTCCTTTCTCGATTAAATTAAGGATAGCTATGGAGTTGGGAAATTGTATAGAGCAGTAAGCATCTATAAAATTTCTAAGGAGAATGGAAAGTGACTTCATTTAGAAAGAAGAAATGGATTGCTGATCAGCTTCCAATACTCTACTAAGTTAAAGATCATATATCCATAGTCATGGGACAATTATATTATTTTCTCCATAAACTCAGAAACCCAGCAACAGAGAAAATTGACAATTGTGTCAGTTAGCATCTGATTATTGGCAAAGCAGAAATTCAAGACATGAGAATCAAGGTTCACTATTTGATTTAGTTCTGGCCTCTGACCTGTTAACCTAGTAGTTCTAGCTTACATTCTGTTTTGATACCCTAGAGCATGCTGAATAACACATCACAGCTGTAAGGTGCTAGGGACAGGGTCTCTAACAATTTCCCAGAACATAAATGAAATTATTTAGATAATGCTACAATGAGGTAGTAAATATTTTACAATAGTTGTTTTTTTTCCTAAGTTAGAGCTATCAGTTGCAAATACAATTTTTTATGGTGGTAGGATATTCATATAATAGACTTTCACTTAAATTGATTCTTTACATTTCATAGAAGTTTCAATACATATCAAAACATAAATGTATACATCAACATGAAGATATTGGTGTATTTTTGAGACAATAGCATTACATTTAAACAATTTGCTAATAAAAATTTTTGTTACATTTTTGTCTTTTAAATAATTTTAGATTATTTTTCATCATTCCAATGCCTAAAATTAATCCATTTAGCTCAGTTTTCAGGTTTTTCATTTCCCTTCTTTTTCCAATGTACATCCATATCAATTTAGGAGACAGAACAGCTGCAATTGAAGTAAGCACTGTTGGAAGCCAATGACTAAAATTAGATTATTAATGACTTTTACTTATATGTTCACAGCTGAAATTTCAATACAATATTTTCTCCTGAAAGGAGACCTTCCTCATCAGTGAAATGCAGTCTTCAGTTATTAAATTACATCATTGGGTGGTGAAAATGACCCAGAATAGAAAGTGAAATCATCTATTTTTTTTTTTTTTAACCAAGAGAAAGGCCAAAGACAAAATTAAGTAATAGACTAGTTTTCATAAGACTATTTTGACTAGTAGCCTCATTAACTGGGGGAGGAGTGTTGGTTTCAGAGAAGCTGTAGGCCCAAGAGGAAGTATGCGTAAGGTATTTAGCATGAGCACAAGGAAAGGTGGCCTAGACTTTGCCCCACCCACCCTGGACTACTCTATAATGCAAACCTTCAGAGATCAAAGCAGGTTTAATTTTGTGAACATTGCTCCCTTTTCTGTTTTTGTGTATACCTGTACAGTTGAGGTGGATACAGATAGTCTCTTAAAGCATTTGTCCTCATGTTTCACTCCATCTATCTTTTGTAAAATCTACAGTATCTTCGTGTATATATACGATAGGTAGAAAGGTAAAAACACTAAATCAGTAATTTCCAGACATGCGTTGAATCCATCTATCCCTACATGAATTATAAGGGGCATCTCAGAGGAGAACCCAGAGCATCACTGTACAGTCTAGCTCGTCTTTCCCATGGTGGATCAGGAATGTCCATCTCTGTGCAGTGCGAACATCCACACGGGAATGCACTGTTCTGGAAAGTCATCCTGCTTCTCCTGGCCCAGCACCTTCAGCCCACTCTTCCTGATGAGGCTCCGGAGTGTGTCCATGTCCCGCGTCACACTGCTGTCAGAGAGATCGAAGACACAGCCCTCTCGGGCTACATTGTCCTTCAGTATGATGACGCCATTTTCTTTCAGGCCATCTCGGCAACGGGAAAGAAATGCAAGAAGGTCTTTATCGGTCAGATGCCCTACAGGTGAGGCCAAATGGATAGGGGAAGAGGATGAAATTGCAGGTGTGGAGGGAGGTGAGTAGGAAAGATAAAAGGACTAAGAATCAGGAAACTATTTGTTCACTCATTCATGAGCCATTTAGTGGCTTGAATTGTTTTACTTGCAGGAAATTTAGTTAAGAGAACATATCCTCTTTGAGGGCACTCAACCCCTGTGTATGAAACAGATAGTATACTATCTTTCTTCCCATGTACTTCATGGGCATTAGATACACTATTGCCCTGACCCTGGGTCCCCAACAACCCAATTCTGTCATACTCCTCTATGTCTTCTATATACACAGACACAAATCCACTTCACTGCTGTCTCATTTCCTGGGGACTTAAATCTAAAGAAATGCTGTTCTGCCAATCAATAAGGACATTTTTGTCCCCATTCCTTAAAGTAATTCAAGTGTTTTTCAGGTTAATGTAAGGATATAGGCAGGTGTAAAGCACAGGATTCCCAGTGACAGGAATTGTCAGGCTTGTACAGAGAATGTTAGGGGAGAAATCTTGAGGACCAGAGTTTTTTGGGAGTGATCACATAATACCTAAGGTTAGCTAACAGCTCTAAGCACAAGTACAACTAAATCTCCATTTATGTCCTTGTCCCCTCTCCACCAGTACTCAAATTGGCCCCAGGTATTGTCTTATTTATCTAAGAAGGGAGAGAAGGGCAGAAGCAACATTATGAAGGACTAACCAGAAACCCACTGAATCCAGATGGCATCATATCTCCCCAGTGGGGGTGTGAATTCCTGCAGGCTGTAGCAGTGGTAACTTTCTATCTTGTCCCCTTTGACTTGCAGGTAGTTCTGGGCTTCAAGGAGGAAAGATTCCATCATGTCCACCAATTCCACGCTGTTGAAAACTGGCAACAAGACGTGCTTGCTGACCCTTCCTATCCCAGAGCCACAGTCCAAGGCACAGTCTGTTCCAGCTCTGCCAGGACCCTGCAGAAAGGCACCTTGTAGAATATTTCAAGTACAGATAACTATCCAGCATCCTGGACACTCCAATTACCTCATTAAAATCAAATTTATTTAGGTCAAATTCATGCAATAAAATGTAACATTTTAATTATATGATTCAATGAGTTTGAACAAATGTATACAGCCAGGTATTGAATTGAAAGCAGTATTTCAAAACATAAAAATGTCTTAGTTTTAAGAAATTGTTTTTTTCCCTAAGAAATGGACTATTGAAACTCTATAAAATATAGAAATATAAAAACTTTGATAACTTTAAATTTTGGTCGATTCCACAGCTAATTGCAACTGCACTACAGCTAATTGCTTTGTAAAAAAATTATATAAAAAGAGCAAATCAGTGAGAGTCTTTCTGAGTTTTTAAATTACTTTTAACAAGAGATACCTCTGAGAAGGGAGGCAAGGTATGGTTTGGAAGTAGTCAATTCACTCAACAAACATATTTCAATTTATATTGGGATGATGTAGGGTAAGGTAAAAGTATCAGGCTTTTCTGCCCTCCCACCATCAGGATAGATGATGGAACCCTGTGGTCCTGAATGCATGCACGATGGCGGGCACCTGGAGTGGGGTGTGGGCATGTGTTGATGGGATTCACCTGTGCTAAGAGACTGGGCTTATAAGGGCAGCATCATGGCGACGCCAGGAGAATGGACAGAAGAGAGCAGAACCACGAGAAGAACCACGAGAGAAGCAGAGAGGCCATGAGAGAATGCCAGAGAGCCCAGAAAGAGTGAAGACTTGCTGGAGGCTGGGAGGCTGGCAGGCCTCCCAGCCCCCCAGCACCCCTGCCAGCCATGTAACTGGTAAATCACAATAAAAGCCTGCAAAAGCCACTAAGGGCTCCAGGACTCTCTCCAACTTTACCCCGTCTGCTGGAATCATTGAAAACCTGCTCAGTGCCCTTCCTGCCATTACAGATGATTAGAATTTTATCTTTTAAAAATGATTTTGGGGACCCTATTACCTACTCTTGTGTCTGAATAATAGTTTTGAGAACCTGAACTAGGGAGATGCTGACTGCTCCAATCTCAAATTGGGGTTTAATTGCACCTGGCACTGGTGGCTTATAGTGCCATCGTGTAGAAAAAAGGGGTTGCAGCAAAGTCATTTTATCTCATTTCATATGAAAAATTATTTGCTGCCTTTGTACCAAAAACAACTTGATTTACTGTGCACAAAGCACCCTACAATTGTTTTTATTTAAGCAGGTCTGTGCATTAAAATAAATGAGGGTCAAAGACAGCTGGGTGGTAGGGGAAGAGGGAAATCAGCCAATAAAAACTAACTCACACTTGCTTCTATAAAGTAATATGTAATTCTGACTTATAAAAATTCAAAGATTCAGCTGGTCTAAATTATTTGGCCATAATTGGGAAGGCAGCTAAATAGGTTTTGTGCTAGAAATTATAGTAACAAGATACTTGAGGTTGCCAATCAAGATCTTAAGGAGAAAGCCTACACTTGATTTCTCAGGAACTAACGAATTAAAAAAGCATTTGACTAAAGATCAAAAGGTGAGTTTTGAAAAGCAACAGAAATGTTGCTTTCCAGTTCTTTCGAAAGGAATTCCTGATATCAAGAAAGGTTCAGTGAAGAATAAAAAGTGAAGCAACTGTAACTTCTTTTCAGACTATTCACCATTTTGAAGATGGGGACACTTAGATGTCTAGTACCACACCTGATGCAGAATAGAATTTGAAGAGGGAACTGTGTGACTCCAAAGCCAGTGCTACTTTAGGATTGTCACCTCAAGTGCCAAGTCTGATTCCCTTGCTACTGTCTGTCTAATATCTTGTTGAAAAGAAGCCAAAGGCTTCATTCAGACTCAAGAGGAAATAGGTCTATGATTGATTAGCAATGTCTGCCTTGAACAAGGGGAGAGCAGGTGGTAATACATATGTTATGAGTTTGCCATTCCTACTTGTACTTTCCAGATCCTTTCATTCAAACATTATACTTTTAAGTAAACTAACTCAGAAAAAAACCTTGGATAAGGTTTATTTTGCAAATATCATAAAAGAAGCATTTTCTAAGTAATAATATGGGGGAATTGTTTGAAGCTATTGAAAATTAGCAAAATTTGTGTGCTCAATTAGAGATTCTCATTACAATTTTTTCTTATTATTTGGCTGTTAAACCACGATTGATGGTGTTGCCAGTGGTTTTAGAAGTAGAACCATGGAACCATAAAGCAAAGAGAATGCAGAGAACTGTGCCAGAAGATATTAAGAAGGTTATAATAGTTGAACTCAGTTTTCTTAATAAGTAAATAACTATGAGGCTATACTGGTTAAAGAGAGACATGGCTCATCCATCAGCTATCCTAATATTTTCCCAATAAGCCCTTGAATTTTGAACCACTTGTGTCTAATTCCTCTACTCTTTCAGACAAAGAAGCTGAGGCTCTGAAAAGTGAAATACTTGAAATAGAATAGCCCTGAAAATTCTCATCCTCTAATTTGTATTCTTCATTAGTTTAGAGGTGGGACATTTGACAGCTGTTATTGGTGAGACACAGATTATTTAAAAATTCAAAATGCCAAAAGCTGGTTCTTCAAAAAAATAAATAAAATAGACAAACCCCTAGCCAAGGCTCACAAAGGAAAAAAGGGAGAAAGCACAAATAAACAGGATCACAAATGAAAGAGGAGAAATCGCTACGGACACAGCAGAAATCAAAAGAATAATCAGAGACTACTATGAACAGTTATATGGAAACAAGTTCAACAATCTAGAATAGATGGACAAATTCCTGCAACTCTACAATCACCCAAAGATAGATAAAGAAGAAATAGAACACCTAAACAGACAAATTACAAGCAGTAAAATTGAAATGGTAATCAAAAACCTCCCCCAAAACAAAAGCACAGGACCTGATGGATTTACAAATGAATTCTACCAAACATTCAGAGATGAGTTAGTGCCTATCCTTCACAAACTCTTCCAAAAAATTGAGAAGGAAGGGATAATACCAAACACGTTCTATGAAGCCAACATTACACTAATACCAAAACCAAACAAGGACAACACAAAAAAAGAAAACTACAGGCCAATCTCCCTAATGAGCACTGATGCAAAAATCCTCAATAAAATTTTAGCTATCAGAATCCAACAATGTATCCATAAGATAATTCACCACAACCAAGTTGGATTCATTCCAGGGACACAAGGATGGTTCAACATCCGAAAATCAATCAACGTTATCCAACACATCAACAAAAAGAAATATAAAAACCATATGATAATATCAATAGATGCTAAGAAAGCTTTCGACAAAGTACAACACCCATTCATGATAAAAGCCCTTGAAATTCCTGGGATACAAGGAACATACTTCAACATCATTAAGGCCATATATGACAAGCAATAGCCAGTATCATTCTCAATGGTGAAAAGCTGAAAGCATTTCCATTAAGATCTGGAACAAGACAAGGATGCCCACTCTCACCACTGCTTTTCAATATAATACTAGAAGTCCTAGCCAGAGCAATAAGACAAGAGAAAGACATACAAGGAATCCAAATAGGAAAAGAAGAAGTTAAACTATCACTATTTGCAGATGATATGATAATATACATAGAGAACCCCAAAAACTCCACAGAAAAACTAATTCAACTCATCAATCAGTTTATCAAAGTGGTAGAATACAAAATCAACATGCAAAAGTCAGTAGCCTTCCTATACACAAATAATAAATCTGAAGAATAAGAAATTAAAAAAAAACATCCCTTTTACTATCAAAACAAAAAAAATCAAATATTTGGGAATAAATCTAACAAAAGAGGTAAAGGACCTATACAAAGAAAACTATAAAGCACTGTTAAAAGAAATAGAAGAAGACACAAAGAAATGGAAAGACATCCCCTGCTCATGGATTGGAAGAATTAACATCATCAAAACGGCCATCCTACCAAAAGCAATATACAGATTCAATGCTATTCCAATCAAAATTTCAATGACATTCTTCAAAGAAATAGAACAATTATTGATGAAATTCATATGGAATCACCAAAAACCACAAATAGCCAAAGCTCTTCTGAAAAAAAAAGGGAATGGAGGCATCACACTCCCAGACTTCAAACTATACTACAAAGCCATAATCATCAAAACTGCATGGTATTGGAACAAGAACAGACACACAGACCAATGGAATCAAATAGAAAATCCAGAAATAAACCCACAGATTTGACAAAGGAGCAAAGAATATGCACTGGAGCAAAGAAATTTCATTCAATAAATGGTGCTGGGAAAACTGGGTCTCTACATGCAAAAGAATGAAGCTTGACCACTACCTCACACCATGCACCAAAACCAACTCAAAATGAATTAAAGAACTAGACATAAGACCTGAAACCATAAAATACATAGGAGAAAATATAGGCGAAACACTACATGACATGCACATGATGTCTGTAAAGACATCTTTACAGACACATCACCCAAAGCAGTGATAGTGAAGGCAAAGATAAACAGCTGGGACTACATCAAATTAAAGAGCTTCTGCACAGCGAAAGAAACAATAACCAAAACAAAAAGAAACCACACCGACTGGGAGAACATTTTTGCACACAACACTAACAATAAAGGACTGATCACAAAAATCTACAAAGAGCTGATGAGACTCAACAACAACAAAGAAAATAATCCAGTCAAAAAATGGGCAGAAGAGCTATAAAGAAACTTCTCTGAAAAAGAAATGCAAATGGCCAACAGGCATATGAAAAAATGTTCAACATCACTTGTAATCAGGGAAATGCAAATCAAAACTACAACAAGATACCATCTCACACCAGTGAAAATGGCACATATTAAAAAAAACTAGCAACACCAAATGTAGGTGGGGAGTGAAGAAAAAGGAACTCTCCTGCACTGTTGGTGGAAGTGCAAACTGATCCAACCACTATGGAGAGCTGTGTGGAGATTTCTTGACCTACTAAACATAGAGTTTCCATATGATCCAGCATTCCCACACCTAGGTATTTATCTAAATGACACAGAAACAGTAATTCCAAAGGGCAGCTGCACCCCTATGTTTATAGCAGCACTATTTACAATAGCTAAGCTATGGAAACAACCCAA